ATCTTCCAAGTTCTCCGTAGTAGTTCCACTCACATTGTCCTTTCTTAGCATGGAAACTTCAGGGTGTAAATCCAGAAATGAATCTCTGTTCTGATATGGACTGACACTGTGAGAAATGTAAGAACACTTGACCGAACTTGATTTTTGATTGATACCCACAAAGCCATTCCTATCCTCAGGCATTGTCATACAGAATTTTCCCGAGTGATGCTCCAAAGAGACTCTGCCTCCAAGAGCAGACAACATTCCAACAGGGTGTCGAGTAAGAGAAAAATTCATCGAAGCATAACTTGCCATCATCTAACAGTTGAAAATTGAAAAGGAATTCAGATACATAAATGGTCGAACATTTAAAGTGTTTGACTAAATATGTCGCTATCAAAGAACGTGGATTCAGAAGATTAGTGGAATAGAAGCAATCAATTGGGGTATGTAGAAATGAAAACACGATCCAAGAATCAAGAATTACTAGTAAGAATTACACAAAGAACTTAGAAATGGTAGAAAACTCAAAACCCATTACACAAATTCGATGGAAAAAAGGAAATTAAACCCAAAAACTGAGATAATAGGAAAAACAGACTCGAGCAAATGCATTTTCGAAAAGGGCACCTGAAAATGCTTCTGAAGAGAGAACTGAAAATCGCCGGGGAGCGCTAAGGATGGAAAATCCAAATGGGTTTGAATGGTTTCGGCCAAAGAGAGGAGGATGGGCAGTAATCTTGTGCAAGGGCAAAAAAGAAAAAATAAATAAATCAACAAGCAAATTCGGCTCAACTAAACCGCCGCCACCTGTGCTCAACAACAGCCCATCCTTTTCCTTTTATTACTGTTCTTTCACTACCACACTACACAAATTCTACTGTGTTGGATAAACTTTCATCTAGTTAAAAAGAAAAAAATATTAATTTTTTTTTTTTTTTTTTAAATATGAGTATTTAAAAATTTAACTGCAGTCTTAAAAATTGTATAAAAAATCCAAAATTTTTCAATTTTGTGTCGCTATTTATCATATTTATCATATTAAAAGTTTAAATTTAATAAATTATAAAACTCAATTACGCTTAAATTTTTTAATTATGTTTAGGGTTTAACCCCTCCCCTAAATTTTTAATTTAAGTAATGTTATTTAACGAATAATTAAATTATCTTTTTCAATTCAATAATTATAATGGAAGATTAATTCTATAAACGGTTAAAGATGATAATTAATATGTTATTCACTTATTACGCTTGTTTGAATGGATCAATAATCTAAGTACTTTTGAGTTCGAATAATAATGACTAATAATATATGTAGTTGAACCTCCCCAAGTGATTTGGATTTCTAAGTGATTTGAAGTTTAGAAAAGATTATAAAAATAACCATATGGAGAAGAACACAAGAACATTAATTGTTTTCAAACAAGAACATGTACAGACAGACAGACAGCACAATCGCAGAAGGCTAAAAGATGAGGAGTTTCACATTTAGGACCGTTTCTTGGCGACTACAGCCATATAGAATCTAAAGGCGAAATGCGAAGCTCTGAAGCTAACACTTCCAAGAACCAGAAACAATGAGTAGCAAATGCAACAATTGTACACCAAAAGAGGGAGGAACTCTCTGTCACTTTCAGTTTTTATCTTGGAAAGGAAGTAGATGCCATAAACAAACATGAGTATGGCAGGCGACCCCCCGCGTAACACTGATCTGCAACCATTCTTTTCTGTCAGATTTCGAAAACAAAACGAAACAAAACAATACAATACAATGCACCAAGTTCTAAGGATATCTGTTTTACCTCCACCACCAGTTGTAGTCATTTTTGAGCAACTGGACACCAGTAAGCGCATACGCAGAAATTATGGTAGTTATGATCACCATTGAGAAGACTGTAAATAAGGTGAAGAATGACCCGCACGCCTTCAAACCCCACAAGCTTGCATAGATGTCATCCATTACCAAGCAGATAGGCAAGAAAATTGAAAGCCCCACAAGAACCATCTGAGCAGGTGTCTTCATATACCATAAACTGGAAGCTGGTGGGTTAAATACGTCTACCATTCTGGTGGCACAAGCTGTAACATCATGCTCTGGTTCATACCACTTCCTTGTTGCTATGCAACATAGGTACACTAAAATGGCACTGCCAATTCCTGCTATTGACAGAATATAGATTGCATCGTTCACCATTAAGCTATTCGACACGAATATCTTTGCTAGAAGAACAGCTATGAACGCCGGATAAAAGTAGAGCGCTCCCGTAAGAAAGACACATTCTTTCTGTACCAGATGAAGAATTTTATCATACATTTTATCATATCACAAGCATATACTGTACACATATCATATCATAAAATATATCACAATATGCGTCATATCGTTAAAAGTATCTACCATAACATATATCATATCATTCACATAACATATTATAGTCATATCATCTTGTTAAACGCATTATACCTAACATATATCATATCATTCACATATTTAGTTTGAGTTTTATTCCATTTTAAAGAAGCATGAACGGATTTGAGAATATACCAATCCAACTGGAAAAAAATTTTCATACATCTTTTCATGTCACATGTATCATATTATAAGTATATCGTGTCTTTTAACATATCATGTCATACCGTACAGGTAATATCATAAAGTATATCACAATATGAGTCGTTTCGTCAAACGCATCGTACCATAAAATATATCATATCATTCACATAACATATTATAGTCGTATCATTTCGTCAAAACGTATCATATCATAACATATATATATATATATATATATATATATATAAAAGTTTTATTCCGTTTTAAAGAACCAGGAATGAATTTGAGAATATACCAATTTAAGTGGGGAAAATTTCTCATGAAATGATCTGCCTATAAATGCAGACGGTACTGATGTTAGACAATATGCCAAGACAATATCAACAGAGATTCTTTCACGGTTGCAGGGGTAGATACCCTGGTATGCAGAAACAAAAAGCAATACCATTCTGCAGACACAATTGGTTTAATGATTAGATGATGATCAAACGATAAGCTATAGGTTAATACAATTATTTAAAGGTTACATGATTAGATGCTGAGTTCCAACGCCCAATAAAGCACCGAGTAAGGATGTGAACATCGGACACTGGCACACTTTATCATTGAAACGACTACCTTGATGAGGTTGTCTGCAAACAATCAACAAATCTGAAAGATTAACAAAATTCTTGAATTCGCCTTAATTACCAAGAACAAAGGGGAGGCGAAGCAATTTTACCTGTTCGACATGACATACCGAAACAGATACGGCGAAGCAACTACAAGAGGCAATGCGACCCACCAAAAGGAAATGGTAGTCCAAAGCCAAATTCCCGACCAAAACAAGCCCCGATTCTCTTCCAAAACCCACGAGGCTTTCCCATATGGAGCTTTGTACCTGGATTTAAAGTAATTCGAATTGTTCGTGGGTTTGATTTCATTCCAGACGACTGAGTAGGAAAATTCCACAGGGGTTTCAGTAATATTGGTTATAGCCACAGAAGAATCGAGACTGTTTACAATATTAACGCCCTTCACTTGATCCTCCATGAAATCGAGGTTGAATTCAATATGATTGAAAAGATAATATTTCTTCCCTAATCCTGTTTCTTCAATGGCTTCCCCCACCTTACTTCCAAACCAGATGTCAGCGAAGTACATTTGGTACTCAAATTTGTTTTCAATGGCAGTCTTAAACCTTTTGAGATCATCTTCTGTCATATACTTATCGCAAAGGAAGCCCTCCGACACTGGAACGCCGAATCTCAACTCGTATTGAGTGTTGGTTAAGCAATCGCCTGCCAGAATTTCATTCAGGGATTTCTTTCTTTTGTGTAGTTTTTCTGTAATCAACGAAAAATGTACAACAGATTAAACATAATTGATCTTTGGATTATATAATACCAGTCGAAGAGTTCGAGCATCTAATTAGATGAAGAACAATATGATCTTCACCTCCTGGAGGGCAAAATGGAAGCGAAAAATATGAGTCTGCATCGCTGCAAATTAAAAAACAAAAAAACGGAACAAAGATCAGCGAGTAAATTGAAATATATACATAATTTAATCTCGATTACAACTCAACTAATTAATTTTCAATGTTTAAAAAACGAAAACCTATCTATCTTGAAAAACTCAGAAATCCATGGAAATTCAAACTCAAATTTCCAATCAACCAAACAGATTCGATAACATCACGAGAACAGAAACCGAGATGAAATGTTTGCAATAAAAGAAAATTAAAAAGATAATGGAAGTAAGAAACTACCATCGTTCATCGGCCCCAAATACTTTGTTGGCGAACAGAGGAATTTGGTCTCCGTATGCATATCCTGAAGGCTTTGATGAAGAAGCGCGTCTTTGTTCATCTATAGCTCTGAAAATTCTGGCGGAGAAGGGGAGTGGGAGAAGAAAGATCAAAATGAGGATCGAGTAAATCAGTTTACGACATGGCGCCATTTCTTGATTCTGCGACCCAGATATTCAAAAATGGAGGGAAAACTAGAGTCTTCGTGCATTATATATATATAGCCCAAAACACTGGACTTTTACCACTAAACTTCTGGTAATTTTCATGCGGTTATTCATTTTCACCGCGTACTTTTCATTAATTTTTTACTTTATATTTATAAAAAAAAAAAAAAATCTAAAAATTACTATTATATAGAAACCATAATAATTTATTTTAAATGTAATTTTAAAAAAAAAATTAATTAATGCATTTCAATTTCTTTTAGTTAAAAAAAATTATAAACATATTTTAAAAAATACTCAAGAAATTATAAAAATAACATTAACCCATTTTAATTTTTATAAATAAAATTTTAAAAAAAAATCTTTGAATCAATTTATATGAAATTTTTTAACCTTTGAAAAACTATATTTTTTAATTTTTAAAAATAAATTAAAGGTATTTTTGAAGTTAATATATATATATATATAAAAGAATAATTGAAATTATTTATTTTAATACATCTTTTCCTTTTTCTGAAGCAGTGGAATGCGAAGTTCCGATTCCGATCTTATCTTTGTTCGATTTCTCGTCATTACCAATTTCCATCCAATTCCCCAAATTTCCCTTTTACTGCATCGCTTTCTTCATTTGGGCGGCGAATTTCTACAGCCGCCGGAGTTCCAGTTCGATCCAGATCATTTTCGCCTCACTATCCAGTAAGCTAACTCATCTATGATATTCATGGCGGGACTCTTCTCTTTCTTATGTTTACGTATTGAAGTTTATAGATTACCGATTCGATTTCTCGTATAGAGAGTTAGATTGGTGCGACTGGTTGAATATGGTCGTGTTGATTAGTTTTTTCTGTTTGTTGACGATCGATTTGAAAATTCTTGAGATTTTGAGTGAGCATTGCCGTTTTAGTAAAACCCCAAATTCTTGATTTAAACCTCAGATTCTTGATTTCATTAGTACTTCAGATGTGATAATTTGTTTTAGTAGACATTTGTTTCAGATCCAGGTTTTTAATGAATTACTTTTGTCAATTTGATTGATTTCGTCGATACGGAAACTCGTTTTTATTCGTTTTGTGCTACTTCTTAACTGCTTCAGATTGCACATATGACATACACATGGCTACTTTAAATCCTGTTCTTGTGAATTTGCGGAAGTAATTTCTTCATCTTGTGCTTTGGCGATGGAGCATCTTCCTGTTGAAGTGATCGGGAACATACTTTCCCATCTCAGAGGTGCTCGAGATGCAGTGATTGCTTCGGCAACTTGCAAGAAATGGAGAAAGGCTTGGCGCAATCACCTCCACACCCTTTCTTTTGATTCTGATGATTGGCCTGTGTATCATGATCTCACAACCAGCAGATTGGAAATTCTTATCACTCAAACCATATTTCAAACAACTGCGCTGCAACATTTGGCAATTTCAATGGACGAAGTTGAGGAGTTCTCTGCTGCACCCGTTATGGCTTGGCTCATGTATACTAGAGAGACTCTGCGCCAACTTCATTATAATGTGAAGACGACCCCGATTTTCAATATCATTGAGAAATGTGGTCGACAAAAGCTTGAAGTGTTGGCGCTGGCTCATAACTCTATAACAGGCGTAGAACCCAGTTACCAGAAGTTCCCTTGCTTAAAATCACTTTCGTTGAGCCATGTCAGTATCTCTACATTGGATTTGAGCCTTCTTCTGACCACTTGTCCTAAACTCGAGAAATTGGCTCTAATCAGTCCTGATATTTCGATGTCGGATATGGAAGTTAGCAGTTCCTCATTGAGGGATATACATGTTGAAGCAATCAGTTTGGACAAGTTTATATTGGAGGCCGATAACCTTGAAGCTATGCATCTAAAAGATTGTACTCTTGAGCTGTTTGAAGTAGTTAGCAAGGGAGCTTTGAGAGTTCTAAGGATTGATGATGTTAGTGTTATCCATCTTGATATTGGTGAGAACATGGAAAATCTCGAGGTAGTAGATGTCTGCAACTTTACTATTTTGTGGCCGAAATTCTACCACATGATATCGAAATCATCGAAATTAAGGAAGCTTCGGCTGTGGGGCGTTGTATTTGATGATGATGAAGAGGTAATGGATTTAGAGACCATTTGTATGTGTTTTCCTTGGTTAAGCCATCTATCACTATGTTATGATTTGAAAGATGGAACCCTTCAGCATAGTTTGCAGGGGTCATCTCATTTGTTGAATGTGGTAGTGCTTGAACTTGGGTGGAGTGTAGTTAGTGAATTTTTCTCTGAATGGATGGAAAAACTTCTTGGAAGATGCCCCAATTTGAAAAAATTGATCATATGTGGGGTTGTTTCTGAGGTTAAAACGCATGAAGAATGCCAAACTTTGGCGAGCATCACCTTATCCCTTGTCCAGTTGATGAGAAAGTATAGGCATGTGGAGGTTCAATTTGAATATGAATAGAAAAAGTTCATGGATGTTTGTTCGGTCTCCAAGTTTGTTCTGAGAGCTGTATCGATATCAAATGCATCCCATCAGGTTTTTGACGATTCTGAAAACCTCCGTCTTCTTTGTTTACAAGCATTTATTAGTTTGAGCAATTGCCATATCCTAGTTGACAGATTACGAACTTTTCTTTTCTTTTCTTTTTCCACAAGGTTCATTTTTAGAGACTTGCTAGGATTCTGTATCTACCCTGAATTTGTATATTTTTCTAAACTCCCTGAATTGTATCTCTCTTTTCAGATATATACTATAAGCAAATAGCATTTAAAAGCACACATGATACAAATCCTGTGTCTGTATACATATTTTAGTTACTGGTCTATATAACTCTTATCTTCAGCTGTTGTATTTGAGCATGAGCATATGTCTGAAATCTTACCTCTTACCTCTGTTGGGAGGAGAAAGAAGTATTCTTTATAAGGTTGTGAAAAAAACCTTGAGGGAAAGTCTAAAGAGGACAATATTTGCTAGTGGTGGGTATCGTACAATCGCCAAATCCGCTGCCTAGAAACTACGATTGTGACACTAAGCCTTGAAAGGGGTGGACACGAGGCGGCGTGCCAATAAAGACGCTAGGCCTTGAAGGGGAGGTGGATTGGAGGGAGAGGGAGGGGGGAGGGGTCCCACATCGATTTGTATTAGGGAACAAATGCTAGTGAGGACGTTAGGCCTCGAAAGGGGTGGATTGTGGATCCCACATCGATTGGGTAGGAGAACAAAACACTCTTTATAAGATTCGTTTTGAAAAACCCACGAACTTCGAACACTCATAGCTTACTTATTTATTTCTAAATAAAAATATACGATTTTGGTGTCTAGATACATTTTGAATAGTAGTATAACTTTGAAGTCTGTTTTTATTCCTTCGTCGCCACTGGACCCAAAAACTTGCTGATGAGAAAGTTGAAAAAAAAGAAGATAATATGACTGAAGAGAGCAAATAGATAAGAGAGTTTGAAGGGATGGTGGGGCGATGGATGGGATAGCAATACCACATATGCTTTTAGTTTAGGGTTTTAGGATTATACTCTCTTGTTTTACCCTTAATTTTGAGGTTCTATTGATGAGGCCACCAAAAAAAAAAAAAAAAGGAAAGTTGAACCCTAATTCCTTATAGACTAGAGGTGTTCAAATGACTCGAGAATCCCACCAACTCGAATTGAATTCAAACAATAAAAGTTGGGTCGGGTAAAAAAAAAAAAAAATGATTTAGGTTAGGTTGAAATTTTGAAATATTGAAAAATCGAGTTGGTTTGAAGGTTGACCTGTAACGTGACTAACCTGAAAATAGAGTTACAACTCAACCCAACTCTACTCTATCATACTTCTAAGATTATCATAAAGATTAAGAATATTTGATGCTTATAACCAATGTAATCATGTGAATATTCGATATTTGAATTTTGTGAAATTTTAGTTATTAATGTAACATATATTATGGATAAATAGGATTTTTTTTTAATTAAAAAAAAAAAACCAACCATGGAATCCAACCCTATTCAAGTTACTCAAATTACTAACCCAACTAACTCGAAAGTTCGAGTTTGTCCCAAAAAAATTCAACACAAGTTGTGTACACCTTTAATTTTAACGTCCTTCATTGTTATCGCAATGTCTCGATTTATTCATGTACTATTAAATAATATGTTATATTCTTATTCTGTACGAGTTTTGAAAATTTAAAAAAATAGTTAAAATATCCAACACTTCAAAAGTGCAGATTGGAAACACAGAGGATCTTAAAAGATTTGCTTTTTTGTAGATTTGGGCCATATATGCCAATGGATAGATACCCCACAATATTTAAGGATGTAGCTCCCTTGAGTTGTCTATCAAATAAGAACTCCATTCCCTTGCCAATGTATAGTGCATGTGAGGGCCATCTACATGTGACAATTCCAAAAAAATTCGGAATCAAATATGACACATGACAAACCTAGCATCAAATACATGTCCTAACGAAGTTCCATATCGAATCGTGTTGTTAGAAACTAAAACAATGAATTAGGATACTGCGTTAACCGAAAATTGAAGTAATGTTGATTCTTAGGAATTGACTTAATATAGAGGCAAAGCAGTTACAAAGCAAAACTATGGATCCAATGGTTCGTTTTTAGTAATATTTCTATGATGTATAACCCTCCCAAAAGGTACCGTAGGCTCTACGAAAGAGAAGTTACTGAGAAATGGGAGGCTCGACCCATCAGTGAGATACCACTCTAGAAAAGTTAGAATTCTAACCTTATGTCTGGACCTACCGGCCAAGGGACTATCTCAGGTAGACACTTTCTATGAGGCGTAGGTCTCCCAAAAAGTACGAAAGACTACTCATTAAGAAAGAGAAGTTAATGAGAAAAAACCCTTTAATTTAGGGTCGGGTTAGAAAAGGTTGGGTCGACGACAACAATCATCGTGCATCATGTTTTCGAACACATTCAGAGCATTTGGAAGGAGTACACATTCTTCAAACTCACTCCATATAAAACAAACTCACCTACACACTCCAAAACTACTTAAAAAGCTAACAAAACTCACAAAACAAACCCTTAAAAACACACAAAAACAGTACAAAGAAGAAGAAAAGGCAAAACCCATTAAAAAAAGATGGGTTTTTTATGAACTTTTTGGATCAAATTATCATCCCCTGCTTGCAGCAACAGTTCCTCTTTTTGCATTGAAATAAACAGCAGCAACAGGAAGACCCAAATCATTCTCAGCTGCAAATCTTCGAGTGTTGAAATGATCCCTTGAAGATGGAGAGTTTACCGAACAACGATGTTTTTGTTTGAACAGAACAAACACAAACCTATGAATTCCTATTGTCGGCTTTGGGATCTCATAGCTCACTTCTTCTCTTCCTGTCACAAAAAAAAAAAAAAAACATCTTTTAAACCAAAATCTCTGCCTTTCTCTCTCTTCAAGTAGAAAGAGAAAGTAAGCTATACCAAAGGTGGCATCAGTAGTTCCTGGAATGTCAGTCACCAACCTGAAAAAGATACCCAAAATTAGGTGTCGATATCGATATTATGTCTCTCGGTGATTTTAAACACGATAAAAATGATGGGTTTTGATCAAAGTTACGTTTTTTCGAACTTTAAAGCTCAAAACTTGCAAGTTTTGTAACATTTTGTACAAGTGGAGATGATTTTAAATTCAACAAAATTAATGGGTTCTAATCAACGTTACGTTTTTTCGAACTTTAAAGCTCAAAACTTACAAATTTTGTAACATTTTGTACCGGAGATGATTTTAAACACGATAAAAATGATGGGGTTCGATCAAAGTTAAGTTTTTTCGAATTTTAAATCTCAAAACTTGGAAATTTTGTAATTTTTTTTTTTACCAGTGGAGGTGTTCTCTCAAGAATGGATCACTAGGGCCAGGAACATCAGGATCAACCATGATCTAACCAAAAAAAAAAACAACAAAAGATCAAAAATTGAAAAAAGGGTTTGTTAAAAGAGAGAATTTTGAAGGATTTGAGTGTACCAAAGTGAATAAAGATCTCAAATCTTCTCCTGAAATATGAACTCTGGGTTTGAAGGAGAGAGAAGAAGGGAAGAATTGATAGCCATTGAGGACGAGCTTGTTGCTGAAAGTGATACACATTTTAATGGATGGGGTGAAGGAATCCACCACATCTCCGATCACTCTTCCAAGAACAAGAGGCTCTGATCTTTTTGATCTTGCCATTTTAGAGAGAGAGAGATGATGAAGAACATAAAGAAGAGTACAGAATCAAATAAAGAGGGGGCCGACCGGCCTTGTTCTTTTTTGGTTTCATGTTAGAAAAGGCAGTTTCTTTATTTAAAGATGGTTTCAACATCTTTACAACACGTTTTGATTTATAGTTTAAGTTCATTTTTAATTTCTAAACTTCTTATCAAACTATACATATAAATTTAGTTGATGAAATATTTTCGAGTTGGGTTGAGTTATCAGTTCAAGTTCTTAGCTCTTGGTCTATCTAACCTCGAGCTCTAAGTCTTCTATAGTCTCTTTCATCATCATAGTTCTAGAATTATAGTGTAGGACCCTGAGGCGCGACCTCAGTTATAAGTTCTCATAAGGTTCAAGGTACTATTTCAAGGTACTGTTGTGGATCTCTGCCGCTCGTGGCAGGTTCAGTACGACCAATAAATCTCCTAATAATCACTACAAATACGGTAATAAATCATAAGTCAGTTCGATCTACCATTAACCAGACCCTTGATAATTGAGTCAGGTTTATGATTAGGGGTAATTGATGGCTCCTAATCGTTCCCGTATAACGACATAATTGTCTATCAATAATTGAAGGTCATTTCGAGTTATAACGAGGGAGTTTCAACTCGAAATCACCTTCGATTATACTTCTAGAATGCGTGACGAACAAGATGATAAGAATTGTAGTGTTTAGAGTTCACATAAAGGCCATCTCCATAAGAATGTTATTAGGGAACTCCCTGGCATGCAAGTAATTTCTTCCATCCTTTCTATATATATAATTACTTAATGAGAGGATTTAGAATCATTCATATTTTACATGCAAGGACAGAAGAGAGGCTCGTAAATACAAATGAATCCCGACGACCTTTACATCGTCGTCGTTCCGGTGCCATGCCCAAAGTGCATTTGTGGCATTCATCACTTCAAACTCGCCATGTCCGAAGTTGGCTTCTCTAACTACCGAAATCTTTGGCTTTTGATCGATATATCTGTAAACGATTAAATTTTCTATGATCATCGAGTAAAACGTTTCAATTTTGTAACTTTTGTAACGTCGTTGGAAAATAGTTTTGAAGCATTACTTGCTCGATAGGCCTTCACGGTTGCCCCCGTCACCGATTGTAATGTATACAAAAGCACAATCGTTTGCTTCCCCATTATGAACACGAGTCTACAATAACAGGATCAAAAGGAATTAGAAGATAATTCAAGTTCTTGACGTAAATAATACTATGATTGTTAGAGAAACTTACGAAGCGTTCATAAGCATGAACATGCCCCGAAAACACCACGTCTACACGAGCTTCGTAGAGCAGCTGTTCCATGACAGCCTTCATGTCAATTGACACTTTCTCACCCTGGTGAGCAGTGTTGGACTTATACCATGGAGCATGAACAAGCACCACAATCCATGGAGTTTTCGATCAATTGATTTTCTTCAAGTCGGCAACAAGCCATCCATATTGTGTCGAATTCGAGTCGAAATCGGTATACGATCCCACATGATAACGTGCACACCGGCTGTGTCGAATGAGTAGTAAAGATTGGATGTCGACGAGCTTTGCTCGAAAGGCATTGGCCATCTTGCATTGTATGCTGTGAAAGGCTGGGAATGAATCACCGGGATGCGCTCAATCTCATGGTTGCCTTGTGTCACCATCCATGGCTTATGGCTAGCCAATGGCTCAACCAGCCTGCCAAAGGAATCCCATAAAGGCTGAACGAAATCAGCATAGGACAAGTCGCCAGGAAGCAGCAGCACATCATAGTCCGATTTGGCTATGTTTTCAAGAGTTGTTTTGGTCCATTCTGTCTGCCCAAGATCACCTACAAAACATCAAAAATCGAAAACGATCATTTTCTAAATTAGCTAATGTGGGACCTCCCTCCCAACAATCATTGACAATCCTCTCCTCAAACAGAGCCTCTCCTGAGGCCTATGAAACCCTCGAAAGCCTCCTTTTAATCGAGGCTCGACTCCTTCTCTGGAGTCCTTGAACAAAGTACATCCTTTGTTCGACACTTGAGTTAAACCTTCGATACTCACAACTTTTTTATTCGACATTTGAGAATTCTATTTACATGTCTAAGTTAAGAGCATGACTCTGATACCATCTTAGAATAACTACTCTCCACAATGACATGATATTATCCACCTTGATTATAAGTCCTCAGTGCTTTAATTTAGGCTTTCCCAAATGACCTCATTCCAATGGAGATGTATTCGTTACTTATAAACCCATGATCATTTCCTAAATTAGCTAACGTGGGACTCCCTCCCAACAATCCTTAACAATTTCTTCCTTTAGCTAGCTACGTACCAATGACAACAAATTTGACAGGGAGTTGAGCGAGAGGGGTTTTGAAAGTGAAATTGCGGGCAGAGTCAGAGCTACAACGATAGTAATAAGTAGTGTCGGGGTGGAGAGGACCGATGGTTGCAGCATGAATGTAACCAGATTTATAAAATGTATATTTGTAAGAGGAAGTAGAGCCAGTTACAAGGTTGGTGCAGAGTCCTCGGTGATCCATGTTATCAACATTTTATCAACACCAACGAGGGATATATGTACCTGAAAAGTTCCTTTTAGCATACTATCACATCATCGACCTTATTTGATTAAATTAATAAAAATATCGTTTGTCTAATAAAAAAACTTTCAAAATATATTTACGACACCACTCGTTTTTAAATTAATATTTTTTATAATTTATTTAAAAAAAATTTAAGGATATTTTAAAACAAAATATTAACCAATTTTATAATAACTTATTCTTTTAATATTTAAATAAAACTATTTTAATAATTTGTTTACTAAGAGTCATAACAGTAATTTTTTTAATTATTGAGAATCAAGTTTAAATTCATAAGAAATATATTGCTTTTAAAGTGCAAATTAAGTATTTATTATTATTATTATTATTATTATTATTATTATTATATAATAAAAATATAAAATAATCTAATACCAGTTAGTAATTCTAACGAATTAAAATAAACCATAAAATTACTTTCTAACAAATTTCAACCGTTTCTCTCTCTAATTCAAGTAAGAACAATCCGTTTTGGAGAAGAGTAGGGATTAGGAATTACCTGTTCTGGAGAATCGGAATCGAGATCTTTCCGGCGAGGAACGACGAGATTCCGGCGAGGCGGCGGCCGTTCATAAGACGAAACACTACAAAACAGAGAAGAGAAGACGGCGGCGACGACGACAATGGTGGTGGTGATAGTTAACGCCGCCGGAAACGTGTACGGACACATTCTATATGAAAAAATGGTGCGGCCCCCGTTTACGTGTACGGACACATTCTAGGACCGCACGTGCCAATTTGGTATATTCTTTATTATTTCTTGTCTGGCGTTTAACCATTTTAGTAATTTATTTATTACCTGAGTTGGTAAAAACATCTCAAGGCTAATTTTTTAATCGAAAATATATAAATAAGTCGATTTAAGTACGGTTATGTTAACCTTTCCGTTTGTTTCTTTTAAAAAAATGAAAGTGTGTGCGCCTACTTCTCGAGATGAAAATGAGCTTTATTCGTGATATAATTAATCGTAATATAATTAACGATAACCAGAACGTGATTCCTTTCATCATATATTTTTTTTTTTTTATATAGAATCACGTTCAATAAGTATATTCAAATGCATTAAAATATAGGAATTCAAGAAATATGGCCATAATTGAAGGGTCAATTTTAATTTTATTTAATTAATTACATTTTTATACTTTATTTTATTTCACGATGAATGAAAAAACAATGAATCATTTAGCTAGACATTCAAAACTTTAAATACAAAATTAAGAGAAACGGAAGAAAAATTGATGTATATGTCGATTGATTGTCCTCGTAATAAAGAAACACTTGCATATGAAAGAGTGGATTCTCAATGCTACATACGAAAAAGATGCACACGTGTTTGTAATGTCGAGCATTTGCATCGAAATGTTAGGTTGGCATTGAGCATGGTGTTGAGCGCTCCGAAGAATAGCATCTCAACGTTACCTGTGCCGAGTTTTCGTATATTTTTCGAGGCTAATAAAGTTGGTTGATGAGAAGGTTACGTGTCAAAAACATTTCCCATATAGGCTGCAAAATGCATTACAGAACCTTTCTTGTCATTTTCACTCTGTTTTTTCTTTTTATTATGTATATATTTAAATTTTAAATTTATAAATACTATTTTCCAACTCTAGTTTCATAATTATTTAATTTTTTTAAAAAATATATTTAGTTCCTAGTCATTTATCTATAATGAATTTTATCTTTCTTAAAGAAAAAAAATTGGATTTTTAACCAAATTCTATTAACAAAAATTTAAAAACTTTTTTTTTTTTTTTTTTAACAAAATGACCATTAATTTTCGAAGAGTTAAATTAGTCAATGAGAAAGTTGAGACGTTACTCGCCCAAGTTGGCATGGTTTTGAATAAATTTTGAGAATAAATTGAATATTAAGTCGTATTCATATGGTAAATGTTGATGTTAGATTGATATATATATATATATAGACAGACAGACATATGATGAGGATAAGTTGTTGGCCGACTCATTCACAAGCTTAGGTGGTGGACATCGAAGCAAAATCCATTGGAAAATTGACATGGAAAAAAGTGTGGCAATGGATCAACCAACGCACATAAGGTAATACAAAATGGCTCAATGCATTGCACAAGAACACCACCTTTCGGCTTCAAAAAATGACTAAACATCAATCAATCATCAAAAAACAAGCTCAGCAATTCAACTCATTAGAACTCTCCCAAATTCAGAATTGCTTCATGTTCTTCAATCATGAATATACGCTATTATGAAGCAGTTCACAGCCGGAGAAGAAAGATGGACACCATTAATGGAAGTAAAGAGATCGATACTGAAATCAAAAGGGGAAAAAAAATTTGAAGTTCTTTTTACAAGAAAACCCATCGTCCACACTTATTTTTATAACGTAGCCAGATAGTGATAGAGATAAGTATCAAATAAAGGAAGAGAGAGAGAGAGACAGCGGCATCGTCGAGTGCGATGTTGGACGGACGGTTGTCGGACGGACGGCTGAGAGAGATTTTACGGCGGGGCGGCGGCGAAGATGATTGGAGAATGGGCCACCGAGAAATTTGCTCTCAAACGTCACGTCCTGAAGTCTTGAGGGCTGAAGAAATCGCTCAAATTCTCTCCAGTTTGTCGGCTTTCACGACGGGGTTCGCACGAGCGATCTCCTCTCTTCCGATTGACTTGAAATCGAAGGTGCAGCCGTGTTTCTCCGGGTACCTATGAGCTCCACAGAACGTGATTCCGCATCTGCATCTGAACCCGGTCAAACCGACTTTCTTACGGCACGACGAACACCGATTCGGGTTCGGGTTTGGGCACGACTGGATCGTCGCCTCAGATCCAGCCGCTGCAAGGGGCGGGATGGTCAGATCTGTGTCCGGCGAAGGCAAGGCTACAACAGGGGAAACGGGAGGAGGATCGATCAGTGAAGAGGAAGGAGAAGAAGAAGAAGATGAGGCTGAGAGAGCGGCTTCGATGGTGGATTTGGTAGAGGCTTGTTCTTGTTCTTTGAGGCGGAAGTCTCTGTAACATTTGGAGCAGAGATCCATGGTGGCTGGACTGCCAAAGAAGCCACAATTATTAGCGCAGAGACGGTGACCTTCAGGTGCTTGGCATCTGTGTTCTTCCGCCATATCCTTCTTCAAAACGAAGAATCTCTACTTATGCGAGAACAAATCGCGCAGGATCCGATGGCGTTCAACAGATCTGGAAAAATAAACCCTAAAATCAACCATCCAAAACCTAAAAAATCCAAATCCAGCGAAATCGAGCGCACAAGCACATAGATTTCGATCGTATAGTCAGAATCAACAGAAACAACAGAAATCGATTAGATTAACAAGGTCGATTAGCTGCTAGGTTGAGAAAAATCGAAACAAACAGAAAAAGAGGAATCACATGATGAAGATTCCGAGAATAAAAGAATAAGAACCAGGCATCAAAATCAAACCATAGAAATCTCATTTCTCACGTTTCTCCACCCTAGAAAGGAACAGATTCAGGAATCAATCAAATTCAAAATTAACCTCAACTTTCTCATCCAACAAACAACATCAAAATCCAAATACAGGACGTTAAAAATTCAAACAATCACAAAAGAAATCGAACAAATATAAAAAATAAACATCAAAGTCGGAGGAAACCGTACCTGAAGAACGAACAGATTTGAGGGATTTTTCCGAAACGGATTGGCGATGAAGAAAAAAAAAAAGAAGGAAGAATCTTAACAATGAAGAATCTACCAAACGGGTCAGAGATATAATGAAGTGGGCGAAAATGAAATCAGGAGAGAGAGGGGAAGAAACAGGCGAAATGGGACAAAATTAAAATAATTAAACATTTTTTATTTAAAAAATAATAATAATAATACTAATAAATAAAAATCGGAAAAGCCAGGCTGGACGCAGCCGAAATGGAAGTCCAGCCAGCCAGCCCCAATATTACACGACGCTGACGACGAAACAAAGCCCACGGAGCCGAATATCTTTACTAAAACAAAATACATTAAATTACACATTTAACCCCCTAAATAAAATATCCTTTCTATTTTCTTTTTCAACAACCAATTAAAAACACGACACAAAAATTAAATTAATTAAATAAATATAGTTTAATAATAGTTGACATGTATTCATTATTCAATTTTTGTTTTTGATTTAATGTATTAAAAAGGAAAATAATTTAAATATATTTAACATTATCTTTTAAATCGTAAGGTTGACGATGATACGAGTAAAGCGGTGGGTTTTGACTCTTACAAATGGTATAAGAGTCAAGCATCAGGGAGATATAAATAATATTTAGTGGTGGTGGGGTTAGGCTGTTATAAATGGTACCAGAGCCAAATATCGTACGGTATGTTAGCAAGGACGCTAGCCCCTAAAGAAGTGGATTGTAAGATACGAATAATATTTGCTAGCAGTAAGATTTGACCGGTACAAATGATATCAGAGTCAGACATTGGGCGGTATGGTAGCAAGGACGCTGGCCCCTAAAAGGAGTAGATTGTGAGATGATACATCTCCCTAACAAACATGTTACGACAATACGTAACGGACAAAAGTGGATAATATCTAATAATATCTCGTAGTGTTGGACGGGTTAGAGTTCTATAAGAAATTTCCAAATAATTTAAAAGTGGGAGAAAGGATATTGGGTTGGTGAGTCAGCAGCAGCGCGGATGAGCGGCGATATTAGTAGGAAGGAATAATAGAAGGCATGGATTGGGCAGTGGTGAGGCGGGCTTACGTGGATTGGGACTGTCAATTTGGAAGGCAGTGGAGCCACGTGGCTCCCATTCCACGTGGGTTGCTCTTCTTTGGGTTCAAATGAATTATATTGTGGGATGTGACTCACCAGAGTAGTTCAATATAGCTACCTATCCTATCACAAATATCTAATTCCCATCTTTACATATCTTTGAATCTAATAAGATTTTTATCGACATTTTTTTACTTGAAGTATGTCAACTCATCGTTTTACCATATTGTTGTGCACGTAGGCTTTGGATCATGTGTCGGCATGTTTTTTTCTATAAGGGACTGTTTGTGTCACAATCGCACTCTTTGAGACGTTTATAAGCAATTGTGCAACACTCACTTTCACCACCAAGTGAGTTAAGCAACTCGAAATAGTGTCGTCTACAGTCTCACGACGTATGCTCAAGCTACTAATCCCATTTGAAAAGAAAATTTTTAGAAAACCGGGATAGAGAAATTTTCAAAGAAGGGTTTGAAAGAAATAATGAAAACAATGTAAACTATAAGCATAGCATTAATGCACCTAATACCTTTAAGCCAACATAATATTGAGCCCAACACATTCATTGCCCAATAAATATATATATATATATATATATAGTTTTTAATTAGGTATATTAAAAAAAATAATCTAGTTAATTTTAAAATCATAATGGTAATATTTAAATTAAAAACGATATTATAGATTATTTAATCGATGTAATATTAAAATTTAAATTTTTAGAAATTATGAGAGCATTATTTATATATATATATAGCAACATATCGATTTATTGTGATTTTTTTACATTTTTTTTTTAATGAAGTTATATTAAAAATAAAAACTTTAAAATAACTATATTTTTTTATAAAAATAATAAATGAGGAAATATTATCCGCCAAGAACTTGGAGAATCTCTGCCCCGATCCCAATAAAAAATAAATGGGGAATTTTGTAGGGGATGAAGATGGAGAATGTTACCTATCACGGTCATGCTTATCCAAGACATGTTATCCATGGCCGCATGCTTGTGACACATTGAAACCTTTGCCTTGTACTACTTTATTGCTTTATTTTATCGTTTTCATGTTGTATTATTTCTTTTCTTCTTTCTTAAGAGTATGACGCTTCGGCGATGTCATGGTTACGCTTGGTAGACATGAAATGTTTCAAAATGTAGTATAGGGGGATACGACTAATTGTCAACTTCTCTTTACTCGATAGTTATATGGAGTGAGTTGATGTTGTTGCCTTTCTGCTTACATTCCTCTTGCTTTCAAAATTCTCTTTCTAAAATCTTCTCTTGAAATTGAGACTCGAGATTTGTATTCACATTGCCTGACCGTAGGCAACGTAACTCAAAGTAGGCTTGACTCATTCAGTGCTAAGAGTGGGTGCCAAATCCATTGCCTAGAAACCGCGATTGTGACACTACTCGTCCCCACTCCAATCTCCACAAAAATAAATGAAAATTTTCGCACAAATGGAGAATAAAATATGCAAGACATCACTGCGGTAGATTCGACACGGAAGTACAGAAATGCTAGCAGTGATGTTCAAAACCGTGAAAATCGTGCCCCACCCCATGGTCAACTCTATTCTCGACAGAGAAAATCCTCTATTAACATCTTATTTTTGAAAGTTATTGAGTATTTTTTAAATATAATATTACCGGTAAGTTTATTTAAAAAATTTAATTTTTTTTAAGAATATTAATTAAACTCTGAAAACTCAAAAGTTTTAAACACGGTTAAAAGATTTTTTTTAAAACATTTTTAAACGTTTATGATGTTTTTTTAAATTAAGTAATAATGGTTTTCATAAAAAATTACGAAAAATTTGAAGGTATTTATTAATTTATTAAATTTCACTTTATAAAAAATAAATTAAATTAAATTTAATATATAGTTTTGAAATATTTTACCATAAAAGTCAAATTTGATCGATTCAAAGTATATATTTATAATCGGTCAAACCAAGCCATCATATATTTATATTTTAAAAATAATTTTAAATACCAATAATATATAATTTATAAATTTTACAAAATACATAAATATTTTTAAAAAATCAATTAAAATGCGTTCAAATATTTTACTCTTACGTAATCTATCAAAATTTATTGTTTTTAGTTAGAATAATTATTCTTTAATCCAAATGGTTTTACAATTAAAAATTGTAAAATAATATTGTTTAAATTTTGACTAAACTTTAGGATGTTTTTTTATTATTTTTTTGTACTTAAAAATAAACTTAATTATAATAATTATTAAATTTTATTGCGTGTGAAATTAATTTTGTCTAATTTTTATTATTATTTTATTATGGGTTCAGTTGAATTTTTGAAGAATCGAAAAATAAAATTTATAACTCAGCTTTATTTTTAAAATTTTATAAGATATAAAGTACATATAATTTTTTTAAATAATTAAAAAAAAATTTATTAGTGATTCATTGTTATTAAAATTTTATAATTACCGAATAATTTTTAAAAAATAAATAAATGGATTTAATCCAGCTCATCGGAGGTTTGTAACGAATCGAGCTACAATGGTAAAAAAAATTGATGTAACCCAATGTGCGCAAAAAGAGAATAAAAATTGGGCATTATCTAAAATTCCACACAGTTGCTTCCAGCGTGAGGAGTTGGGTTGGATAAATTTGATGTAAAGAAAGGTTTCTTTTGACTAAGAGGGGCGGATTCGATATTTGAAAGCGGAGTTATCCATCCAGATCAAGAACTGAGCGAGTTAATTCGATCTTAAAACTCGGCGAGAAGGGATCTGTTCGAAAAGGGGACGATCAGAAGCAGATTCTGTGGCTTTTGGGGTTCCCTTTTCATAGCAATATCCGATCCAAATTCCCAGTTATTGGGACTCTTAATCGGATCTTTCGCCATTGTTAACCACGTCCTTGTCTCCATCTTTCGCCCGCCTTTTTGCGTCCTCGTCATCTTCCACCTAACCAAAACCCACTTCAACCAAGCCACCATTACCTATTATATAAGCTTTCTTTATCGAGTTACTTACGTTCACGTTCGATCCATCGTCTTCTTCACATTTCTCATAAATTCTTTTGAAGAAAATTTTGATTTGAACCCTATAACCCCTTTTGATTTAGACCCCATTATCCCCAATTGTTTTGATCTGTTTTTATTATCTGTGGAATTTCCCTTGTTTTTCTTTTGAATTTGGAAATCGGATATGGCGGATTTGAATGATGCATCCGGCATTTTGGGTTCTTTTGCCAAGCCGGAGAAGCTCATTATCGACACCGATCCTGGAATCGGTGAGTTTTTTGTTCTTTTGGCCATTCTTTTACTGTTATATTTGATTTTGTTTGGATTTCTGTTGTTTTCGCTGAGGCTCTAATTGATATGATGATCAAAAGTTCATTAGTTTTTCCCGAATCTTTAGTGCATACTTGAGGTTTTTCTGCTATAGTTTGTGTATATCTGATATGGAACCTCTGGTTTCAGCTGTGTGAGGATTTGATCATATTTTCTTTGGCTTTGTTCTGTATTTGTGTATGAATGGTTGTATGCACTTTGAATTGGTTATGAATTGAGGGATCTTGGATTGGCAGATGATGCCATGGCTATCTTCATGGCATTTCGAAGTCCGGAGTTGGAGGTCTTGGGATTAACGACAGTTTTTGGCAATGTCTTAGTTGAATGTGCTACACACAATGCCTTGCTTCTGGTATGCAATTGTTTTAGCTGATGTTCTTGTTTTCGAATTGAACGTTTCTTTTTCGTATTTGCTGGACTTCGTTCTCTTTTGGAGTGTGTTCATGATCAATGAATCTTTCTGATGTTCCGAAAAGATAGTGTGAGATGGCAGGCTGTTCGGATGTTCCTGTGGCTGAAGGCAGCCCCGAGCCTCTGAAGGTAAATTCTTTTAGCTTTTGGTATATGTGTGGAGTGTAGACTCAAGACTGTTTGATGGAGTTTGTATGATTTGCTAAGTATTCTTTTTTGTGGTGGAAAAGGGTGGAACGCCTCGTGTTGCTGACTTTGTTCATGGTTCTAATGGACTCGGGAATGTAATTCTACCATCCCCAAGTACGAAAAAAGTTGAAAAGTCTGCTGCTGAATTTTTAGTCGACACGGTCTCTCAGTACCCCGGTGAAGTGTCTATACTTGCTCTTGGTCCTCTCACAAACTTGGCTCATGTAAGTTTCTGTGTTCTGTTTCATTCTTCTTTGACATTGCTTCCTTGTGTGTTTCAAGGTTATATTTCTTGTATGTTTACCATCAGGCAATCAAAATGGACTCTACCTTTGCGAGCAAGGTGAAGAGGCTTGTCATTCTTGGCGGTGCGTTCTTTTCGTTAGGGAACGTAAATCCTGCTGCTGAAGCAAATGTGAGTAGTTGTTTTCCTTTCAAAACCAGCCAGATTTAACGGGGCTGCTCCGAACGATTCTTATGTTCTTTGCCACGTTCTCCGAGTTAAATTAGCTGCATTTAGTACCAATCGCGAGATAACCAGTTAGTGAATTGTGAAATCTCTTGCAGATTTATGGAGATCCAGAAGCAGCAGATTGTGTATTCACATGTGGAGCAAACATTGTTATTATTGGGATAAACATCACCACACAAGTTCAACTCACTGGTAGCGTTCTCTTCGTCACGCTTCATTTGTTTGTTCGTCTCAAATGATATGAGAATCAATGTAATGGAAATGATATCTATGTTTGCAGATGAGGACCTCCTTGAAATAAGGGAATCCAAGGGAAAACATGCTCAAGTCCTATGCGACATGTGCAAATTCTACCGAGATTGGCACGTCAAGTCCGATGGGGTCTATGGTAATCAGAACTCACGAACAAAAAACACATAATCTAAGCACTATTACGAGTTATGTGTAGATCCCATTTGAATGACCATTCTAAGTTTGTGTTCAGGCATTTTTCTCCACGACCCTGTTTCGTTCGTGGCTTTAGTTCGTCCCGATCTCTTCACGTACAAGTCTGGTGTTGTGAGGGTTGAAACTCAGGGCATCAGTGTAGGTCATACATTGATGGATCAAGGAATTAAGAAGTATGTTCATAACTGCACAACTTTTTTGCCAAATTTTTCTGCAGTTTTCGTTCATAATCCCTTCCCCGATGTCTGTATCGTGTCTTGCAGATGGAATTCGGACAACCCATGGTCAGGTTACTCCCCTGTTTCTATTGCTTGGACTGTCAAGGTAGATGAAGTCACCAATTACGTCAAGGAGCTATTGATGAAACCGTGAGTGTTTAATATGTCTTCATGAAAGCAGTCTTCGTCTGCTGTTCTTTCTTTTTCTTTCTCGCACTCTCATTTTCAGATAGTGGAAGAGCATATAAATAAACTGAAATCTGAAATTGATGAACCTCCACTTTCTCTTGTGGATATTTGAACAGAAATTTAGTTGTTCATCAGAAATTTCTTGCTTTTTCATTATTATTATCAGTTTCGAAATCTGAAGCTACTGCTAGCTACTTGTTGTTACGATCGAGAAGTTCTTTTAGTTGAATGAATACACCTTGACTAGTTGAACCATACTCAAGATGTTAGAATGACTAAGAATGTGAGATTCACATCGGTTGGAGAAGGGAACAAAACATTCCTTATAAGAATGTGGAAACCTCTCTAGCAGACGCATTTTAAAACGTTGAGGGGAAATCCGGTAGTGAAAGCTTAAAGAGGACCATATCTACTAAGGTTGGGTTTGAGTTGTTACAAATGATATCATAGTCAAACACCGAGAGGTATGCCAACGAGGACATTGAGCCTTCAAAGGGGGTGGATTGTGAGATCCCACATCGGTTGGAGAGGGGAACGAAACATTCCTTATAAGGGTGTGGAACCTCTTCCTGGTGAACGTGCTTTAAAACCTCAAGGGGAAGCTCGGAAGGGAAAGCCCAAAAGAACAATATCTGCCAGCAATAATATAAAGTTCCAAGGAAGAAAACTTCCCCTGGTTGATGATAATAGGAGCCATCTTTAAACCATTAACCTCCCAATCTCTGCAGAATTTATGTTCTTGATTAAGACTGGTTTTTATGCTGAGATTATATGGGTAGGTGGTTCGATTATCTAACCAAAAACAACTAGAAATACCTAATCCAAATCATGAAACAACCACAAAAACAAACGAAGCCTTCCATTTAAGAAGGCAGTTGAACCAACCACACTTAGTTTCTACTCCTCAAACCCCCTTGGCTGATCACATACCCCCACCTACTTCTTTGAAGGAACCTTTCAACATAAATCACCCACTCCAACTACCTTTGAATCACTTATATATATATAAATTACCCAAAACAAAAATAACTTCAAAATCAAGAACAATGCCCAAGATATCATCATCAGCAGCAGCAAGGAGGGAGTTTTTGGTTCTGGTTTTGGTATTGAGCTGGTGGTGCTTATGGTGCTGCAACAGCCAAGAGGTATTGATGGGGTGTGATGAGATATATGTTGTTCGTGAAGGAGAAACTTTGCAAAGCATTAGTGAAAAGTGTGGAGATCCTTTCATTTTTGAACACAATCCTCATATTAATGATGTTGATGATGTTTTTCCTGGTTTGGTCATCAAGATCACTCCCTTTCTTCATCGTTTTCTCGATGGCATTCGTCTTGATTGAATTCTTGGATTTTTGTTCTTAGCTCGATGTTTCATTGTTTTGTTTTAACAAGTTTTGAGACTCGGCGTATATATATATATATATATATATAGTCGTTGCAACTGCTGCTCTTTTGTCCATCTTGTAAATATATATGGTAAGCCAAATTCCTAGTTTACGAATTTTAAAAAGTTTGTTGAATGGTCGATGTCTTGGTTAAACTAGATTGAAATTAATTTGCAAGATAATGCAAAATGATACTATAACGATGTAAGAGACCCAAGCCCACTGTTAATAGATATTGTCTTTTTTGGGCTTTCACTCAAGATTTAGGAGAGGTTTCTACTGCATTGTAAAGAATATTTTGTTTTCCTTTCCAACCGATGTAAGATCTCACATATTAGAAGCAATGAATTGTCATGGGTGTCAAATACGAGTTCAAAGAGAGCCAATTAAGACTCCGAGCCATAGCCTTAAGAGTCAAGGTTATGGCATGCGTTTTAGTATGCAACTCCATAAATAAAATCTGTCTATTTGAATACTAGGCCACTTGTCAAAATCACGTCTATTCAAATGCTGCAAGCCAACTCTCTTTTATATGATGCACCGAGAAGGCTAATTCATGAATGAGCTGTTACCATATTTAATTATCTAAAAGTATTTAGTGCCTCAATCATATAACTGAATGTTTGCTTGTCCTATCATTTATTATTATTATTATTAAGAAATGTTTTAAATAGACAAAGAAAGATTTTAAAAGATTATTTAAGAATAACGTGTTTTTGTGTAAATTTTAAAAGATTATTCACCACCTTTTCAGAAATTATAAAAAAAAAATAGATTATCCATCACGTTTCTGTCTATTTTATTTTTAAAAAAATATATAAATAGAGAATCTTGTACAGTTTCTATCAACCACCACTTTTAACTTTTAGTTGTTTATATAAATCTCTTTTTCTTTCTCTCTCCTATTTCTATTTTCTCTTTCTTTATTTTATTTAATTTTTATAAATATATTTAAATTAAATTTATACTTATCGCAATACATTATTATCATGATGCTAATAGATTAAATTAATAAATATTACTTTCAAAATACATGTGTAAATATTTTATTAGCTTTTCATGTATTCTTTAGAGATTAAATTAATAAATATTACTTTCACTTCTATTTTACTATCAATTTTTATTTTTAAAAAAAAAAAAAATCCAAAATCTAAAGTAAATATTTTAAAATTTTTAATTTTTTTCTTTTTTGAAAAAATTATAATAATTTAAATATAATTATAGCAATTTTAAAAATTAAATATTTTAAAACGAGATTTCAATAATTCATTATAATCTAATATATACCATGTGAAACATGAAGTAGGTGAGATGTGACATTGAATATTACCTGCGATCTAGATGTTTAGAATATAATTTGTGGAAAAAAAATGAAATTAAGGGGATTAAAAAAAATCCAAATTAAATAAATAGGCAGTGGGTCCCACGGTAGTATGGAGATTTTAATATCTAATAAAAAATTTTAAAACTTCACAAAAATAATAATTTTATAAGTGACCGACAATATAAATAATATAAGGAAGGTTTGAAGAACACACATTGTCTATATCATCATACCAATCTTCAAAGGCATGACAAGATCAAAATAAATTAAAAAAAATTCTTGAAGAATAATATATATATATATGGAGAATATTTTTTTTTTTTTGTATAATTTTTAATTGCAGGGTGGAATAATCTTTTTTTAAAAAAAAAACTTAATCATATAGTATTAAAGATTTTATGTTTTTTTGAGTATATTAATAAAAAAATATAAAGTATTTTTGTCATTTGTGTCGATTTTTTCTTCATAGATCCAAATCATGCCTTCTATGTGCCGTTACGATATTATTTTAATTCATGGTAGGGTGTTCATATGATTCAATAACTCGACCCACTCGAATCATAAAGATTGAGTTGGATTAGGTTTTTTTTCGGTTTGAGCTGGGTTGGACCTTTGAAAAATAAAAAAACTCGGGTTTGTTTACGAGTTGACATTTTTTCTGTTCACGTTAATGCAACTAATCCGAAAGTAGGGTTACAATTCAACCCACCTTTACCCTATTTTCAAGAATATTATGAAAATTAGGAATATTTGACGTTTGTAACTGATGTCAGTGATGAATTATAACTTGTAAACCTATGATATTTGAGATTTATGAGAAGTTACGTTGGATTGGATTGTAAATTCTATTTGAGTTACCCAACCAACTCTGAACAGAAAATAGATTTTCTTTATTAATTTCAATAAAAATACATTGAACAGAAACAACAAATTCAAAGATGATGTTTAAGAGAGGATGCCAAAGAGCTAAAAGTTGCGAACCAGCCCTGTTGAGTAGGGTGCACCGAGTCCCAAAACAAGGCTGATTTAGGGCGTTTGCACAAAGTGTACATTTTGTTGCCCTTTTCATCCACGCTCCCGCACGAAAACTCACTGCTTACTCCAAAACAACATGGCTTCAATGGCGTCACAAATCTTGCCCTAGCTTTAGGGCTCCCTTTGTTTCGGATGATGGACAAGATTGCGTTGTAGACGTCGAAAATGATGAACGGGGAACCCTTTGTATCCTTGTTTAGTTTCTCCACAGCTTGCTTTAATAAAAGGTTGTGAACTTTAGCCATTGAATTCGTGGTTGAATTGCAGTGCTTGAATGACGAGTTGGCTGTTGGCTGAGGGAGACATCCCACTGGCCCTAACCCTAACACCACTATTTTTTTCACTCCCAAGCTTTGGATGCGCTTCAAATTTACAGCAATTTGGTTCACTACTGATATAATGAAGGGCTGGAGTCCCTATCATAAGAAAAATAATAGTGTTTGAACACGGAGAATAAGAGAGGGAGCAATGATAAAAATTTTTGTGTCAACTGAGTGGAGCCATGAACGGGAATTATATTCTCTGTCTTCATCCCGACCCTGCCCTGCCCCGCCCCGCCCCACTAATGTTTAATATTGTTTTTTATTATAACAGTCCAAGTCTACCGCTACCAAATATTGTCCGTTTTTGCTCATTAAGTAACGCTGTCAACCTTACGGTTTTAAAACGTGTCGGTTAGGAAGAGATTTCAACATCCTTACCAGGAATGTCTTTGTTCATCTTTTCAACCAATGTGAGATCTCACAATCCACCCTTTGGGGAACAGCATCCATGTTGGCACACACAACTGGATGTTTGGCTCTAATACCATTTGTAATAGTCCAATTTCACCGACTAACAGATATTGTCTGTTTTGGTCCGTTATGTATCACCGTCAGCCTCACGGGTTTAAAACGCATCACGAATTCAGCTCATCATTCAACCGATGGAGAGAGGTTTCCACATCTTTATAAGAAATGTTTCGTCTCTCTCCCCAACGGATGTGAGATCTCACAATCTACCCCTTTAGGGGCCAGCGTCTTCGCTGATACATAGCCCGATTTCTGACTTTGATACCATTTGTAACCGCCCAAGTCGACCAACTAATAGATATTGTCCGCTTTGGTCCGTTACGTATCATCGTCAGTCTCACAGTTTTAAAATGTGTTGTTCGGGAGAAGTTTCCACACCCTCCTTCTCCAACCAACGAGGGATTTCACAGAATGAAAATTATCCAACAAAAAGTTCTTTAAATCGTATAATCTTTAAAATAAATATAAAAAATTGAGAAAAAATCATCGTGGAGAATCACTTTCCTCATCCCGACGAATATAAATGCAAAATTTGCAAGAATAGAGAATGAAACAAGAGGTAGGGACCGAACATCAGTGTCTCCGTCCCGCCCCATGTGTATGGTTAGTGTTGATAGTTGAAGAAGTTACCTCCATGGATCCATTTCTCTCTTGATAAAAGGAATAATCATTGCCCGACGGGGAGACAAGAGCAACAGATGAACCGACATGTTTTGGATCAAATATGTTATTGGCAACAAGACCTTGGAAGAAATCGATCTGGGTCGTCATGTTCGGGAAAGGAAACGACGTGTCGAACACGCCAGTTCCTCCAAAAGCAAAGTTCATCCCATATTTGGGCCCTTTCCTTCCACCCTTCCGCCATCCAATAAAGGTCTCCGGTGACTTCAGCTCAAGATAGTTAGCTACAACATGTTTTTCATATCAAAAAACAACCTTAAACAACAGAGAGACACAGAGACAGGGAGATTGGTTACCGAAGAAATCGGTCATAACACGACCATCGGAGAAACGACCGGAAGGTACGCCGGGAAATGTAATTCCATACGGCAAGTTCCGGGAGCTGGAATTAGTGGCCTTAATGTTGCCGGTGTCGACGTACGAATCTCCGAACACGAACAGCTTGGTCGGCCAAGAATTAAAGCGATAATCAACATGGTGACGACCCGATCCTCGTCCTGACAGAAATAAGATTGAAAGTCCATTCTATTTTAATATGAAAAAAAAATAAAAAAATTATCTTAAATCAAATTTCATAATATTCAAACAAAAAACAAGAAATTAACCTAAGAGGAGAGAGAAAACGAAGAGAGAGAGAAGTGGAAACACAGTCTTCCTCGACTCCATAAGTGCTTGATATGGTGCTTTAATGGCTTCCATGGCTATCTATATATAGTGGTTTAAGAGATGGGCGGTCCAACAGCGTACGGTTGAACCGTTGAACTGTTAACGGTTGAATGTAATAAGAAAAGTTAATTTTTCTTTTAGTATTATGTGCTTACAAAAATGGATTGTTGAAAGCACGTTTATAATATTAAATGTTTCATTAATATATAATTAATTAATCACAAATAATAATAATCACGTTAATTCTCGAAATATGGGTTCGTCCACGTGGGTATAATGCCTAACCCACCACCGTGAGCTATAATGCCTAAATTGACTTTTTCATAGATATTATTATTTTATAAATCAAAGATCGAATTATTATGCTCCCAATTGGACCATTGTAACCGTTCAAGTCTACTACTAGTAAATATTGTCTATTTTAATTTGTTAAATTCCGTCGTTAGCTTTACGATTTTAAAATGCGTCTACTAGGGAGAAATTTTCACATCCTTATTAGGAACGAACACCATAAGATCTCATCTCAATGAGTCATTATTAGAAATCATGAACCTCTATAATGATACGATATTGTTCACTTTGAGTATAACCTCTAGTGATTTTACTTTTAGTTTCCTAAAAGATCTTACTTGTAAACTCATGATCATTCTCTTAATTAACCAATACAAGATTCTTTCCCAACAATCCTCAATCCTAACAATCTTCAATCGTCATTGCAATAATAATAACTAATATATTTTTGTAAATTGGTATACTTACGAGAGTTAATAATAATTATAATAATATATATTGGTCATATATTTTCCTAAACTCTATTTTAAATGAAAATAGAAAAAGGGTTGATTTTGTTTGATTTGAATATAAAATTAGAAAAAACATTATTAACTGATAACTAAAAAACCAGAATGAATAACTAAAAAAACAGAATCAATAACTAAAAAACCATAATCTAAGCCTCTAAATTGTCTTAAAAGACTATATATATCCTCTCTAAACCGACAGTCAAAATTAGAGCCTTTTGTTTCAAATTTCTTCCCTTCTCATATAAATATTTAACCCCACAAAACATTCAATTTCCAACATTAAAATTTTGTGTCGGTTTAAAATAATACCCAAATGATGTTGCTCGAGCTTCGGTTTGTACTTCTATTACTTCTTTGGCTCGTGGCATCATTTATGATCCATGGTTCGAACCACCACGAAAGAAAGGTGATATAATAATAATATGATCGATCGTAGAGTAATAATTTTTCATTTCTAAACGTTAATTTTTCACAGCCTTATATTGTTTATATGGGCGACTTGCCCGTGGGAACTTTGTCGAGTACGGTGGCAGACGACCATCACAACTTTCTATTGGACGCCATTGGAGAGTACATTTCACGGCCTTTTTTCACTTTATTGAAATTTCTATTTTTTTGTTAAGGACAAAAAAATTCATGGGGATCAAATTCTTCATTAGAAGCTTTTTTCCAATCTTTTACATATATTTTTTTAGAAAAATATTAATTTGAAAGCTTTTTTAATAAATAATTTCTAATGAATTTAATAATATTTTTCACGAGCAAAAATATAATATAATATTCAACCTACTTTCTAAAAATTTAAATTTAAATTTATTGCATAGAATTCCACACATGCATATAGTAACAGCTAGACGGGAATTTGACGAAGTCAAGGGCAAGAATGGAAATTTTCTCTTCACACCCTTTTCCATTTTCTATTTAAACCGAGATTTCCCACCCGGTTCGAAGCTAGTTCCCATGGGACCAGTATCGGGCGGGTTGGGTTAGATTCATGTGGTTCTTAGTAGGGAAGGATTTAGATTATTATTCTTTAGAGAAAAAGATCCTATTAAAAATAAAAATAAAAATTGAATATATTGTGTAAGAATAATTTACTAATTAACCATTCTCTCCATCTATTTGTATGAGTTAGTGAAAACAAAGCTCGGGAGTCGAAAATCCACAGCTATGGAAGGAGCTTCAATGGATTCGCCGCCAGATTGTTGCCTCACGAAGCCGCCAAGCTCTCAAGTAAATCAACATCATATATTCCATGTCGTTTTATAATCCAAATAGCTCTGTGATTCCTTCATTCCATGTCGTTTTAGTAACTGTGATTTTGTGAGAACCAGATGTGGAGGGCGTGGTGTCGGTGTTCCCGAGCAGGAAGCACCGAGTCGTGACCACCAGATCGTGGGACTTTCTGGGTCTCAATCACCGCTCCAAACGGAACCCTAAAATCGAATCTAATATCATCGTCGCCGTTTTGGATACTGGTATGTGTTTGTGTTTAATTCGCTCATAAATTCGTACAAACCCTAGAATTAATCGATTCATAAGGTTGATTTGTTTGATGTTCTGTTTAGGGATTTGGATAAATAGCCCTAGTTTCAGCGATGAAGGCTACGGTCCGCCTCCCGCTAAATGGAAGGGCCGATGCGTCACCGGACCTAATTTCACCGCCTGCAACAAGTATCTATTTTCTATTGATTTTTCTTGTAAATTCGATGCCTTATTAATTGATTTTCTTATTGTTAATTGGATGAATTGATAATGAAACAGCAAAGTGATCGGTGCTAATTACTTCGATCTGGACAATGTAAGCCAATTTACAGAGACGAGTGTCGCCGACACGGAGGGGCATGGCTCTCACACGGCGTCGACTGTGGCAGGCTCGGCAGTGGAGGGGGCGAGTTTGTATGGCCTGGGCAAAGGGACTGCACGCGGTGGTGTGCCTTCTGCTCGCATTGCAGTGTACAAAGTGTGCTGGAGTATTTTCTGTAGCGATATGGATGTTCTTGCAGGCTTCGATGAGGCCATTGCTGATGGCGTTGATTTCATTTCCGTCTCCATTGGCTCGGTGGCTGTGGATTTCTTCAGGGACAGCCACGCAATTGGGGCTTTTCATGCTATGAAGAAGGGTATTTTAACGTCCTGCGCCGCTGGCAACGATGGCCCTGAATTGTCCACCGTTGTGAATGTGGCTCCCTGGATTATGACCGTAGCTGCAACTGGCATTGATAGGCGATTTGTCACTGCTTTCAAACTCGGGAATGGCAAGAAATTTACTGTAAGTCTCTCTCTCTTTTTGTTTACTTTTCAGCTTTTGATGAACGGATAATGAAAAACACTACATTTTAGATATAAGATTCTAATGTTTTTACTTGAAGAACATGTTATTACTTTCAGTATATATAACCCATTATGAATGAAATATAATATTTATGTGAAGTGAAAATTATACAAAATTTGGCAGGGATTCTCCATCAACACTTTCTCGCCCAGGAATCAAATGTACTCTCTTACGAGTGGGGCTAAAGCATCCAACAATGGCACAACCCTAAGAAACGCAAGGTATGTGTGAGATCCCACATGGGTAGGGGAACAAAACATTCCTTATAAGAGTGTGTAAACCTCCCTAGTAGACGAGTTTTAAAAACTTTGAGGGAAAGTCCAAAGAGGACAATATTTGCAAGCTATGAGCTTAGGCTGTTACAAATGGTAAGTACACATTCGGTAGGCTTGGGCTGTTACAAATGATAAACACACTCTCACTTGTAAAGGTGTGGAAACCTATCCATAGTAGATGCGTTAGGCAAGCCTAAAGAAGACAATATCGGCTAGCAGAGGCCTTTGACTGTTATCGGCTAGCAGAGGCCTTTGACTGTTATCGGCTAGCAGAGGCCTTTGACTGTAAAACCTTGAGGGGAGGGCCGAAAGGGAAAGCCCAAACCTTGAGGGGAAGTCTAAAAGGGAAAGCCCAAACACAATATCTGCTAGCGCTGGACTTTGGCTGTTACAGTATGAAATACATCCCATAAGTTAGAAATTGGTTTCTAAATGATCCCCGAGTAGAGTCGACCAATAGTTGACCTAACGAAATAATAACACAACGCTAACTAAACATGTGATCTTTGATTTGAAACAGTGCTAGTGCTTGTGACGCAGATGCTCTCAGCCAAAGCAAGGTGAAAGGAAGAATCGTGTATTGCTTGACAACATTCACAGATTACAACATCGAATCCTTAGGAGGCACTGGAATCATTGAACTCCTTGAAAAACAAACCGATTCTTCCCCCATTTTGCTTCTCCCTGGAGCTGTCATTCCTCCAGTCTCTGGCAAATATATCGATCTCTATATCAACGCCACCAAGTATGTTCCTTTTTTATGTGGGAACTCTCAAAATTGCTGCTCCTTTTCAGTGATATTGATTCATTGAACACAGGGATCCTAGAGCTATCATTTACAAGAGCAAGACCGTCAAAATTGCTGCTCCTTTCGTGGCCTCTTTCTCATCCAGAGGCCCTCAGCTCATCAGCCCAAATATCCTCAAGGTATAACCCAAAACAAAAGCCTCTTTGGTTTCTCAATGTTTTACAAAAATACTGAGTTTCTGTGGTTAGCCTGATCTTGCTGCACCAGGGATAGATATCTTGGCTGCTTATACCAAGTTGTCAAGTTTGACAGGGAAAATTGCAGACAGTAGATATAGCTTGTTCAGTGTAATGGCAGGTACGTCCATGGCTTGTCCTCACGCCACTGCGGCTGCTGCCTACGTTAAGTCGTTCCACCCCGACTGGTCTCCGGCTGCAGTCAAGTCGGCTCTCATGACCACCGGTAAGTCTTGTGTGTAGCCGTATTTCCATTAGCCAATGTTCAGGCCTGACAGGATTTGGGTTTTCAATTCATTCTAGCAACGCCAATGAAGATCAAGTCTGAGGATGCTGAGTTTGGCTCTGGAGCTGGACAAGTAAACCCAGCCAAGGCAGTTCATCCCGGCCTTGTATACGACATTTCGCTCGACTCGTACATATCTTTCCTCTGCAAAGAAGGCTACAACAGTACAACAATTGGCCTACTTGTTGGTAGCAAGGAGTATAACTGCTCCAAGATCAAGCCTGCTCAAGGCACTGACGGGCTCAACTACCCTACGATGCACAAACAGCTCTCAGATCCTGGTTCTGCCATTACAGCGGTGTTTTATCGAACCGTGACTCATGTCGAGTACGGTGCGTCGGTGTACAGGGCAAATATATCATCTCCAGTTGGTCTCTCTGTCAAAGTTTTTCCAGACAGTCTAGATTTTGCGAAGGCAGGAGAAAGGAAGACATTCAAAGTTGTGGTGAAGGGCGAAGCTATGAGAGATGGAACTCGGATTCTATCAGCTTCACTTGAATGGAAGGACTCTAAACACGTAGTTAGAAGCAATATCCTTATCTATAGGCAGTTATTAATGTAAGTTTTTATGACAAATATATTTTATTTTTTATTTGTACAAGGAATTCTCAACTATATTGTATATATGAAATTATTTATATTCTAAGAAATAATAAATTTAAATTTGAATGATTAAAAATTTATTAAATACTTAGGCTAATTATAAATATGAACTTAGTTATCTAAATTAATCAAATAATCCTATGAAATCAACTCTACATGATTTTTAATTTCAAGAATTTTAGATACTTGGGGAAAGATATTTCTTTACACATACTAGTTGAATAATTGGATGACGTACAATGGTGTATGTCTCTGGCATCTGTATGCATCATATTATTTATGTTTATGTGTTTTATGTAATGACAAATAATGTATTGAAATATTTGCCTCCACAAAAAATAAAAAATGGATAGGGGATTGATATCTACATAGTATGTGCATACCATATCAAGTATTAAGAAGTGGTAGTATCATTGATATTACTAGGATTGAAATTATTATGACAAGTCAATTTAATTTAGAGGTGGAACAACAATCTCATTTTCTTCGTTGATCATTAAAAAAAGAAATAACGAGTGAGAAATGGAAAATGAATGAAATAAAAAGAAATAACCAAAGTTCAATACTAGACACATGCTTTGGACTATCTAGACAATCGAGAGCTAACAATCGAGACTTTGGACTATCTAGACACATGCTTCGTGAAATGGTTCATACATCACAATAAGACCAAGTTGGTAAATATGAAGATCTCCCCGAGAGAGAATCGGACATTAAATATTGTGTTCCTACTATACGAAATTAATATAAATCAAGTTTAGTCGGAAAACATTAGCTTAAAACGTGATATAATTTTAAGTTTGAATATTAATACCCTCATAAATTTTCTGGTTTAAGGATACAAATGAAAGTACAATTAAAAAAATCAAAGAGACTATTTTCATTAAAAAAAAAAAAAAAAAGAATTAACATGTTAAAATGCATTATTCCAACCATTAAAAAAAAGAGTTTTTTCTTTTCCAACACCCTTAAACAAGAGTTTTTTCTTGTTTTTTCCAATTATTTTTTAAGGTCATAAACAACTAGAGATACTTACCTGTGTGACGGATAATAATTAATGCATTTGCCTACATTAATAATTCATCCAAAATTAATTTCTTATAAATATACATACAAATGATGATTATGATAAAAGTTTATGCTAATAAAATAAATATCGACATATATCAATCGAAAAAACAATTATGCTAGCAAAATGATCATGAATTCACATGTTTTCCAAAGCATGCAAAAACATTAAAAAAAAGCACATTCATCCCATGTTACGCTAACATTGTTTCTAAGATATCTCGTACTTCTTAATGAGTCAAGAAAAATTTAACTATCTCAATGCCTATTGCATCAAGGAGAGCTTATAAGTATTTCCAACCTCTATATTTTTTTTAGCATCAAAGAAACCTTATGAGTCCCACGAGAATATGTTCTAGAGGTTGGAAACCATGAAATCCTAAAATATATCTTCCTATGTTTCTCGTGCTTTTTAATGTAAAATCTTAAACATCTCATTGGCTGATCCTCAAATCTTAAAACAACACTAAATTTAAAATCTTTGATAAATTTAGTTCTAAGATTCAGTTCGATTTTCCAATGACAAACAGACAGAGTAAGAAACTAGAGAGAGTTCATTGCTATATGAAGATCAAATATTCAGTCTAAGCACCTGAATTTATTGTAAATGGTGTGAATGGAAGAAATTTTTAAACCTTAGATGCAAAGGAGATACCTTCCTGTATCAGCAGATCTGCGTTCTCAACTGATGGCTGAACACTTGCAACTTTGGCAATGGCCTTGTTTTCTTCAGGACTACCACCCTCTAAGAAAGCTCCCACAACCTTCCCATCTTTAATCCAATATGATCCAAACTTGTGAGTTGCTGATTCAGGACTGCTGTCTCCGAACAACACCGCGTTTCCAACGTTATCCCCGTAGAACTGCCACGACAAATCGAAGGATCGAGAGTAGAAGTATGGTAGATAGTCATACTCCTCGATGGCCTTGCCCGCTTCGCTCGCCTTGATGGCCTGCCATTAAAGCAAAAGGGTCTTAAACAAATGGTATTTTGTTGACATCTTAAATGTATGTTCGTGGGATGAAGTTTGCCCACCTTTACAGCTTGCTCTGCTGATTTGCGAGAATGGTCAACATGCTCGACTCTTCTCAATTCACTGTAAAGCTTCAAAGGAAAAGTAGCTACATCGCCCACGGCATATACATCAGGAACACTCGTTTTGAAGAATCCATCAGTCTACAAGACAAGGACAAACTGCTAAGAGGAATGTAATGAGCTTTCTTGAAAACTTAATTTCATTTGACACTCACCTTAATGCCTCCTTTTTCTTCTTCGACTTGGCCCTTGAACAAGTTTGTCAAGGGTCGTCCACCAACACCAACAACAACGATGTCTGCTTCTAAAACCCGCCCGTCTTTAAGTTTCACTTCCTTGACCTGAACAACATTCAATAACCGTTACAGCCTCCGTCGAATCGAAAATGTCTTTAACCAGGTGGGAGTTGTGAAAGATGGTGCTCTTAAGGTCTTACCTCTCCACTAGCATCAACAGTGAAGCCTACAGCGACTGTTCCTTTAATGATTGTGACTCCTTTTTTTGCATAATAACCTTCATAGAAAGCAGCTATTGCAGGAGTGAACAGCCGGGGCACTGCAAGAATAGAATTGAATGATATTGTAAAAGATTAAAGCCGAGAGTATATTTCCATTGGAGTTGTATGAACACTACTTACTGCACCATGGTTCAGGATAAACCATGCTGACATCAAAGTTGTTTATTCTCAACGCTGCACCAAGCTCAAGACCTATGTATCCTCCTCCAACAACAACCACTTTTCCATTTTTCTTTGTTTTGATTGCTTCAACTAGTTGATCAGCATCGACAATTTCTCTCAAATAAAAAATGTTTTTGGCATCAGCTCCTTGAACTCCAAAGTCTGACAATCTTATTGCCTGCAAGCAACATGCAAGTGAAGTCATATATAACGGAATCACGGAGAAGATAATCCAGAGTGCCCTCGCAGAAGGGAGGGATGAATCCTCACAGTAGAACCAGTGGCAATAATCAAAATCTGATACTTAAAAATTGCCCCAGAAGCACTTTTGAGAGTCTTGGCAGAGAGATTTGCTTCAACAATTTCTGTACTAAGAATCAACTCGATCCCTGAAGTGATTGGTTAGGAAGTCATTAGAAAACTGCTGAACGAAGGAATTTCAAGAATGAAATAAGTAATATGACCTTTTTCCTTGTACCACTCTGGAAGCAGCCTCTCCCCACCACTTCCAACACATACATGGAACCCCGGTAATCTAGCAGGTGCTGCAAAACCAAATAACTATGAGATGGAAACTGGAAACATGCACCCATTTTGAAAGCTTTTCCCCTTACACCAAAAATTCAGGTGGAAGAAAGAAAGATGATAGCATAGAGCTCAAGTTCAGTCAAATGCAACTCACACTCGGGAAATAGATAGGCTTTGCTGAGAGCTGGACGTTCATAAGGAGCAACCTGACAGTAGAAAATATACACATAATAACCAAGCGCATGGACAGAAAATTGATGCCAATTTCCATTCCCGAATGAGGGAAATAAAGGAAGTGTTTGGCAAGTTATTCCATTAGAAAGCAATAAGATATCATTTCCAATAAGTGTTATTTGAAACTGTAAAGGCCTGGCACAAACATGAGTCAAACAATGATGAGATAACGTACCGCCTCCTTGGATATAATTGCCAACTCTCCAGCATTTAGTCCCTGTTTTGCGAATTCCCTAGCTGCATATCCCTGCATCGGCAAACAAATCCCTAAGAAGGCGAAACAATGATGTTCTGATAAAGAAGATCAAATTGTTTGACAGAGTTCCTCCCTAATCAAACACGCCAATTAGGAGCCATCGGTTCATTACGATTTGGTGTGGAATTCTTGAAATCAATTGGTTTTAATTTTGGGGAGAACAGAAAACAAACTAACTGGTCCAGATTTGTTCTTCCTACCCTTTATAATTATATTTTACTTCGTTCCATTGTTCTCCAACATTTCTACATCACACTGGATTGTTCAAATGAAATATATAAACTACTCCACTTAAATCTTACCACTAACATTGAAAAATGAATAAACCAATGTCCAATTTAACAACTAAATTCTATTAAAATAAAATCCACATGCATATGAAAAATTAATTGTTTTTTTCAAGAATCTTTTTAGACTTGACAAAATACAATTGACAGTGCAACACATCAAGATTTTGTTAGTATTATTATTAAGTGTAAAAGAACTTTCAATCAGATTCTGTCAATGTAATGTTTCGGTATAGAATCTGAAGTAATTAACAATACTTATTTCATCGGGGGGAAAATATGAAGAATGAAACATTGGAAATGTCGCTAATCAGCAGAATTCGTGCACTGCAGCTGAAGCATCAACTAATAATTTGAAGAAAAGGAGAAGAAATATACGAAATTCTCAGAACAGGATACTTTAAAACACTTGAACATCGAACTAATTTATCCGAACAAGAAGAGATTTGACAATTTCTGTTTCGCCTTGCAAATTTCGAAATCCAGAATCAGAGAATCGATCGGAAGCAAAATGGGGACGGTGGAAGAAACTTACAGCCGCGACGCCACCGCCGACAATCACATACTTGAAGGTCTTATCCGCCATGGCTAAATCCAGAGAGGTATTTGTTTTGTTGTTCAAATGAATATCTTCCGTGTTAGATGAGTAATTGATCATATATTTATCGGGCGACTCGGCTCCTTATTGGCCCGATGATACTCAAAGGCTGAATTTCAATTCGACGTGGCAGCTCCTTTGCCTTAATCGTTACTAACTTTAAGGCGCTTTCATTTTAGACAATTACTGGGCCCAAAGCCCAAAGCCCAAAGCCCGATCTAAACCCAGTCGAATAGCATCTCAAGGCCCACGATATACCAGCCCGGACCACTT